GAACGCCGCCACATTTACAGACTGATCAAGCCAACCACGCCGCTGACGCGATGGAGAATTGTTGCCCGAGAGAATTGGTGACATAGTCTAAGCATCAGAAACAACCGGATAAAGATACAAATTCGATTGCACATCACAATCACCTCAAAATGGGGAACCGCATGGTCTTAGAGTCAGTTAGATTAATTGACAAGTAGATCTAATGAGAAGTTATTCAATAGCTTCAAAGTAAGCATGCAATATATACAGACGCCGATTTGCATTACCCTTTATAACATACTGCCTTCAGTCATACCGAAACAAATCCCAAAAGTAAAGTAGTAGGGCACTCAATCTGAATAACAGGATAAGGTAAACACAAAGGCTGATGACAGGTAAGATAAAGAATAAGCAAAAGGACATGAATGCCCTGGATCATTTATTATCTCAATCATTCACTTTGTTGACAAGAGTAAGAGACAACGCGGGCTGTGCCTTACGCTACCAAAATACAAGAAGAATAAGACGAAAAAAGGACATTTCTGCAACATTTATAGCATTTTCACCAGGCTAAACAAAAGTCTCCTGCATACTTCTAAATTTGCTTCGCAAAGACACTAGGCTTACGTAGATTAAGCTGCCCTACCATCAAGATTAAAGGTTTGTTGATGGTATCATAAACAAAAAATAACCACAGCAGGTGTCGCATACATCTGAGGCCTGCAAAAAGAAAAGATGGGAGACAGAACCAGTAACTGTGCTAATAATATACGGAAAACATAGCAGCACAGCGATAAAAAATTGCTTTGGTGATCAGGCCCTTCAGAAGTCAAGACAGGAAGTGGTAAATACACCCAATCATTTACATCGACTCGATGTTACATACTAAACAGATACACTCAAGATTAATTGCTGCAACCATAATACTGGCCGAACGTCCTTGTAGCAATTTGTACAGCCAGCAGGTACGTGAGGCTCAAGGCACTATTAATAACCACTCTTTAATATACGAGCATTTCCAAAATTTGGAGGGCAAAAAACGCAGTGAATACAGGAACCTGACGCCTAAATTTTCCCACTTACACCTAAATATACGCAACGGTACCGTACCGACAAGTTCCATAGCACCGCCAAAAGCTTAGTAAACATCTTGTTTCCATTTCGATGCTTATATTTGTTGACAGGTTTTATTACGACTTCAGAGCTAACTCAAGGCTGTAGAACTTAAGCACTGAATGAATGAGAAACGAGAAATCAATTCCCTATAAACAAGCATTACTACTTTGTTGTTACTATTTTTTATGCCAACAAAAAGATAGCTTAAAAAGACTGCTATCTCCGAAGTTATAAACCCTCAGTCGTAAATTGTATCCGAGGTTCTCAACGCACCCCCAAACCCACTGTTTAGCTATTATGAAAAATCCGACAAAATGCATATGGAGAATGAGACTAATGGTCCCACCGTGGACTGCGGCTCCTTGGAGGAGGGCCAGTGGAACTCCCAGGCCTTGACAACACCGTCCTCAGCAGCAGTTGTTATGGCGACAAGGTCGAACGTGTGCGAGGATCCGGCGGGAGAGGTTGTAGGTGTTGCCGCAGGAGAACGGCAAAAACCATGGGGTGAGAGACGTATGCTCGATACCGAGGTGCCGTGAGCACACACATCGAAGATCTTGCAGCGCTCCGGTAGACTCCATATCTATAACCACAAAAGGCCGCATAAAATCCACGCTGTTATCTTTGCTGCAATCAATAGAGTGGATGATCGAGTAGACCAATGATTATATTCACCGCATAGCGTCGAATACTGAATTAGTTCCCTAATTAATTTTGATCCTTTATCCATTCCACGTTTTAGTAATTAAAACGGCGTTCGACGTTGCCCTAAAAGGCAAAGGGTAATTAGTAAACTCTGGCCCAATTTTCATTTGAACTCCAAAGTAAGCTGGCATCTTTAAACTTGCAACTAGAAATCTGAATGACCGCCTCATCCCAGTATTTCCTTGCTGTTCCTTCCATACGCCATCAACATTAGCTGTGTGTGAAATAGGACGTTTAAAAGAAGACATGAGATAGCAGCTGAGGTAAATGCGATTAAATTGTACTTATAAATAAATTGTTTCCCATATTTGATTGCTACAAACTTGTTTGCCTTTGAGGAGGAGTTTTAACAAAAGGTGGTTACACCACCTGATTACCAAAGAAGTGTGAGAAACCCTTAGGTTACTTCGCATCGTAAGCCTATTCCAGGGTCAGAGGTAGGACTCATAACATCGATCAGACCGTCGGGTGCTGATCGAGTAGTGGTGCCACAATATGACCGAATCTAGACAGTGCATGCATTCCTTTGCAAATAACATTAATCTCTGGGCTTGCATCGCATTAATGGATAAGCGTCAAATAGTAACCACATACGCAAAAAAAGGTGATCTTTAGGTTTTAAACAACAGAAAGCCTACTGCTACGGCTCAATAAAAACAATGCATACCATCCAAAACCCCATTCCACCACTAAAACCAATTCTTATACTATACCGTTCAGCAAGGTGAGGGACTGGGATACATTAATTTAGTGGGGTTAAATACACAAGATATTAGTTTGGCACTTAGTCGGAGGTTGGAGTTGGGCAAACGTATATTCTTGCGGAAGCATAAATTTTGATAATGCTCAAGCACGCGAACCTGCAAAGACGAGGTGGTCCAACGAGCAAGCCTAAAGATAGGATACATTCAAGTGGGAATATACGGCTGGAATAACAAAATAAGGTTTACCGGCTAACTCGACTAGTGTAATGCTGAAGTGGAGGCGAGCGATAACACTCGTTTTCTCCCTTAACGGAGTCTGCCACGCAGACAATGCAGGAGAAAGGTAGTGATATTGAGTGCAAGAAAGACGAACACCATCAGCACGGAAAAATGAAGTAACCATTCCGTTTGTGTGGATGGCAAACATAAACACAAGACAAAGCACAAGTCCATCAATCAAACAAACTGGTCGATCGAATATAATGGACAAATCCTTTCGACTACTCAATCATCGAACGTGCTAAACAAACGAGTGACGGTTGGTATCTCCTACCACGACATAGATGGGAAAACCAAAAGTAGGTCAGAAAATTACTTTCGAGGAATCAGAAGCGGACAGGACAAAGTATCGGTATTTGAATGACGGAACGCGCAGCTCATACGGAATACCTATTTTGTACATTTAATGCTTAAATTCGAAATGGGTAGGGAAATTCTAAAAGTTAAAAAGAATGGCAATATTTACACGACATAGTTAACGCAAAAATTCATCAAACGCACGATTGCACGACCAGTGTTGAGGCCAGCGGCAATAAGACAGAAGTTGCCGAAAGGCTGACTATCCAAGGTAGTGATGGTGGTCGAGGGCGGACAAGGTAGGCAAAATTGTACACGACTTGCAGCTACAATAGTCTCGGGGTTCTGCAGGCTCTCCACGTTCTCAGGTAACTTGTTTTCGAAAGCCCACACCTATAAATTAACCCACGTTCATTTACGATCATTATAGCAGTAAGAGTTGCCTCAATCCAAATGTCTGGATAAGATAATTAGACACAAATTGTAGGCCGGAAAGTTTATTCAGTCATCTGGAAACATGGTATACTTAATGCCGCTGTTAACTATTAAATTGGAACGAATCATCATCATAATTCCTATTACCCAATGTGAATAATGTACTTCCGTTAAAGAATTGACATTTGATCTAAATGAAAGGGATTTTAGTTCCTGTGGATTTTAAGCTCAAATTCATTCGAGTAAATAAAAACTCAATTCTATTTTAACAATGAAGAACTGGTAATTGAGAAATAGCAGCAATGCTAGTGATTCGATGAGTGTACACTAATTATTAATTAGAAAAATTTTAAAGTTTATGAACCTTCAGACATCAAAGCCAACAGCTCGAAAGCAATTAAATGTACCTAGAAAAGCAGGACTATCGCGAAATTGTTGATATAATTTGAAATAAGTTTCCCCGGAAAGATCAATTTAGCTTGAAAACACTTAAAGCAAATAGTCCACAAATGCGAGAAATATTAAGAAAACTTAAGAAGAGATCCATGAAATAAGATCTTTTTAAATTACCATAGATGTTTTGAAGGTGGAGTCATTTTTGGTGAAATTTATAACTGCAAAGGTCACATTCGTGTTTGCGAATTTCGAATAACAAGGGAACATAACGTCAGCATTCATTCAACATACCCTATTATTCTCAAATTAACTTTTGATGCTTGTGGCAAACAGCACCGTAAACAAAAATGACACCATCGATGTACCATCGTAAATAGGATTTAGGAAAGGTGGAGCACCTATAGCAAACCAGTTCGACGTCGAAAAATTTCCACAAAAAACAGTAACCAAAACACTGAAGGTGCAACCAAACAATAAATTAGCGGAAGCGAAATGGAGAATGGGGTTTGGGCATCTCACCAAGACCAGGTTGTCAATTGAGGCAGCCACGAGGGGATCATCAGGCGGAGTCCACCCACCGGGATTAACGGGTACTCGAGACTGATTGGGCCAGCGGATGAAAATGCAGTTTTTAGCCACCTTGCCATCAGTGAGTGCGCAATCCAGCAGCTTCGGATCACAGTAGGACTGCGGAACAAGATAGAACAAAGTCCCTTGTAATGGTATGATTTTAGGTTTATTTGTTGCGATATCTGATACAATCAACAGCGCAAGTGACCGCAATGACCGTTGACATTTAAATGAATACGGCAAAACAATGGTGACACTCTGTGCAACACTACTGAGCAAAGAGAAGTAGCAATGAGCATAAAACCTTTCGGTATTGAACACAAACGGTTAATTTCTTATTGCATTGGACGACACACTCATCTACTACCGTAGTAGTGTCGAGAGGAGAACATTCAGGCCGAGGTCGGGGCGTTCGAGCACTCATTAGTGCAGAGTAAAGCGGATTCGCCTTTAGGGGAATGGAAGAAGCGATACAGGCAACCCAACCTATTTCGTCGAGAGAGAAGATCCACAAACGACCGTTCGAGAGGCTGGCAATGAGAAGAGAGTCGTCAAAAGAGATGGAAGCCGTAGCTACAGTCACCTGGGCAACACGGTCACCCCGCTGAGAGGGCAAAAGAAGCTCCCGACTTTTGACCAAAGTGAACTTGGCCTGGGATTGCGCCAGTATAGAATAGATAGTGAGAGGAATCGGCTTCTGTTCAGTGGATGTCAGAGACACTGAAGAGGAGTTCTCATTTATTTGTTGAGGTCTCAAGATCATCTCGTTAGAGGCGGTAACAGCAGCGGCAGCGGTGGGAGAGGATGGACCGGGTGAATCAGAGAAGAGGAGGCAGGTGCCCAGAGGCGAGAGGGCGATGCACTGTTGAACTGCCGTTTCGTCATCGGATGTGTTTGAGTCAGCCGCCTATGTAACGAATGATGGGGCAGTTAAAAGTAATATTATAAAACTGATATTATGCTATTTTAATGGAGATGTAGATAATCAAAAGAAACGCACTTGACGAGAGGCCAGAGAACTAGCAACCTGAGTATTACGCCGGATTTCGAAAGAGCTTGGCAAGTTGGCGAGGACAGTAGGTGCAACGGTGTATATAGGAAACTCATCCTCCTGTAGCACCGGTGATGAGCTGCGTGGGGCCGTGCCCTTGTTGTCGGGCTCCCCAACGTCTGCTAGCATTGGGGGAGCCGAAGACGACTGAGGTGAGAGTGAAGATTGACCTCCCATCTCACCCGATACATCAAAGAAGGCGTCATCGTCGACTTCGCCATCTTCATCCACGTCAATGGTAGTGAAATAGGATTCATCCAAATCGGTAATACCCATGTCGCTTACCATGCTAGAGCGATTAAAGGACCCACTTACGCTCGGTGACTTTAAGAAGGCATCTAGGGGAGGCAGATTGGAGACTCTAAAAGAAGAACGAAACCGTTTAAATTTTCCTGCCTTTCCACCAAAAGGGGATACACAGAAGACCACTAAGGAAAATTTGTTTGCAGTG